ACCCCTCACTCTGTTCAGAAAAGCTTCTGACAACTGCCTTAACCTTCTATTAGCATATCGACACACACTGATGTAAAAGAAGTCAACCTGGAAATTCTTCCGCCTTAAAATACTCTTCTTCTACTAGTTTTGAATGATAGCCACATCAGACACTACCAAAAACATCTTGACATTTTCTACTGTGCTCTTACAAGTACTGCAATTTTATACCCCAGATGGCAGTATCAAATGTAATTACTTCTGTGAAAGAAAAGCATTCAGATACAGAACCAGAAGTTATGAAAGCTTTCCTCTTTTATTCCCCCCATATACAGAACTAGAGTTTGGGAGAATCTCCCACTCCGACGGCAAATCTGGAATTGCACAAGGTGCTCAGGAGATCCTTAGGAATTTCATTAACAATCTTTTCTCTTTCCATGATTTTGACTCCTGGAGCTGAAGAATTACTGCTGGACCAGCTCCCTGAATGAGGAGTTTAAAAATGTAATTGAGAACACTATATACATTAGTGCTATGAAACAGCCATATGCAAAAGCAGCCTCTAGTCAGTAAGTTCTTCAAGCTTCCTAAGGAACCTTTCTTCTCTGTATTTAACCTCAGGGAAAAACTTGAACAAAGATCCAGTCTTCTAGATCCAGAGTTCCTTCCACATTTTTTTTATTTACAGTACATCTTTAACATCCTTTTTCAGATACCACAGTATTTCTTCCACTGGATTACGAGTCCTCTTTTCTATGAATTTATGCTCTTGTCTCTCTGCTTTTATTTTGCAGATTCAACTTGATCCATCACCTTCTCATAACTTTACAAACATTTACACAATTCTGTCATTGAACTATATGCAATTCCCAGATGTTTAGATAGTTTTATTTTCATTCATCAAATAAAGTCAGTCTTACTTCCACGCTTGTTTAAGCATCTTGAAATCTTTGACTCTGACCACCATCAGATGGTCCTGCTCTATCTTACACACTTAAGCCTCGCTCCCACTAGCAAAAAAAATTTAAAAATATCAAAATCCTTCTATGCTAAACAAATTACTAGCAAGCTTAAATGAAGCCTGAACGTTGTCAAAAAGGAAAAGAATTTTAGCCTACTAACGGTTGTGATTACACTCTTGCTAACATGAATGTAGTGAATAAGCACAGAACCGTTCCTGAAACTGTATAAATCCCGGCTCTCCCTCAAGCCAAGTATTAGCCAGCAATGACAGAGCTGGCAACAAAGCTCTAGAAGGGGGAGATGAATAGAAATGTTCTCCTTTGGTTTGTCAGTGAGTCTGCACAACATGTTTATTATTTCAGCCTAAGACAGAGTTAACTTGTACATAATCTGCAATTTTGCTATCCATCACACATCCTATGGAACTACTTATCTACTCTCTTCCTCCTTTCATCTTAGTTCAGCAACATGCTCAGCACTGCAAAAGAAACTTCCAGGAACATGAACATAACCTGCTCAGTCCCTAACCAGTAAGACTGATCAAGATTGTTACTACAGAGCTGCTGACACATGCCACAGAAACAAAGAGAAATACCCACAGCTCTCAGGTATTAACTCTAAAATTACTGTTTGGTTTAGACCTCTCCAAAATTTTTGGGCAACAACGACCTGTGGGTATCAGATACCTACACGTCTTCTTTTTCCTGTTATCTCTAAAAAAATAAGACTACTTTTGGATATTCTGTCAAGAAATTAATTCACAACTTCCTCTCAGCTTCCTAGGCCTACACGTCTGGATCACCTTCTAGCCTAGCTCAAGATATGTTTAGTGTCTGTACATAACTCATTTACTCCATTATTTTAATAAAATTCTTCTGTGGTAACATCCTACTGAACACTCTCAAAGAAGCAAGCATTCATTCAAATTTTTCAAGGCAATACACAAAACAAAAAAATTTTGACGTATTTTTAACACATTGGATCAGACTATTCTATAGCAATAATAAATCTCAGAATTTCATAGTATTATTTTCATACAGAAGGTAAAATGAATTTTAAAACATTACCACTTTAGAAGAAGCAAATTAAACCATCAAAACCAGCAAACCTCATAATTATATTACAGGACACTTACTGTAGCAAGGAACCAGGATAGGAAAATGAGCCAACAGGTTTAGGCACTACTGAACTAGTCGTAAAATGAAAAACACATAAAGTAATTTCAACTGAAGTTTAGAGCACAACCCAGAGTTGCACTGCGACACTGAAGCACCAAGATGGGAATTTTGCTTCCGCAGGAAACAAATGCCCAGAAGTCAGGTTTGTAACTTTTTACTGTGACAGCTTTAAAAATATCGAAGTTTGGCAAAGTCTGCTGGCTTGGGCACTGCAAGCAGAGAGGTTACGCCCACCTCGCTTCCAAAGCATGCGACATTTTCAGAGGAAGAAGGTGAGGGCTGGGAAAACTCTTCGTTTCTCCCACTAACACGCCAGTACTCTATGCAGCTTTTATGCAGACTGCACCAACAATTTGCCCACTCTCTCTGCAGCTGTCTAAAGAAGTTACACACTCTGATCCCTAAAGCTGCATAAAAGCTAGAATATCGGGGCTTTTTTCAAGCTGGGTGTTGAAGTGATTAAAAAGTTCAAATAATTATGCTAAAAGTCCTGCAGCTGATTGCATTTTACTCTATGAGATCTACGAACCAACAAATCCCAGACTATATACAATGCTTCTCTTTAAACAGATAGCCCTCTTCATCTATTTCCCATTCTCTCAATTTTTACATCCATTATTTAGCAGAAAAACATTCATAAATTTCCTGAAATCAACTGAAGTGCAGACATTGTTGAAGAAAGTGCAACAATACAAACCACCAGCTACCTCCCATCAAACTAACCAACAAAAAATATTTTTTTAAAAAAATTAATTCACACCTGACATGATCTCAACTGCATCAGAAGGAAGCTATTCTCTTTC